TCCTTAGGAAAAGTTCTGAGAAGTCTGGTGCCTGAACAGGGACTGATGGATCAAGATCAGTGGGAGTGGAGTGTCTCTTGGGGGTGGGAGGGATTGTGGTGTAGCTATCTTCTTCCTGGGGTGGGAAGGCTTGCCATCTTTCTGTGGCAGTTGTGTGGTCTGGTTGATAAGACATGCTACTGAGGGTTGGGAGAATAGTTCAGTTGGTAAAGTGCCTTGCAAGCATGAGGGTCTGACTTTCATATCCGGAACCCATGTTAAAAAACAAAAGCTGGGTATGGGGTTGTATGCCTGTAATCCCAGAGCTGGAGAGGTAGAAAAAGGCAGATACCCAGGCCTCTCTGCCCAGCTAGCTTAGCTAGACAAGTTCCAGGCTAGTCAGAGATCTTGTCTCAAGAAAACAAGGTGGATGGCATGAAGAATGACACCCCAGATTGTCCTCTGACCCCCACGTGCATGCACACATTTGTGCGCACATAATATGTAAACACACATAAAATATGAAACTTAAAAAGACATATAACTGAGGTTGAGTTGTCTGCTCGGTGAAGCAAGAGATCTTGCAGGGTGAGAATTACTCGTCCAACAGTGTGGACAAAGTTTCTGGTAGTAGGAAAGCGCAGGGCAATTGGAGACCCCAAGTTGAACTGCAGATTTGCTGGTCTCCTGCTAGTGTTCAGAGCACGTGATAATGGATGTTGCAGCAACTCTCCAAAGCACAGGCAGTATGGATATCAGTGCATGGATGTGGAGATGAAAGTGTGGCACAGATGAAAAGGATTACACCCATCCTAGGTGCAGGCAACTATTGGTCCTGTATGGAGAGTGTGCTGAGTCCATTTCTGTCCTGTGAGAAGGTAATTTGGGGTTCCTTATGTTTTCAATGTCAAGTGTCCCCGAGGCTCATGTATTTAAACACTTGGCTCTCGGTGGCTGCTGTCTTGGGGACTGTAGAACCTTTGAGTGATGGAGCCTCACAAGAAGAAGATGATTGTGGCAGGCTTGAAGTTGTCAGGCCTGTTTCCTGTCTTCCCTGTGTTTCCTGGTCTGCTAAGTGGTGAGCAAGTATCTGCCACTGTGTGTTTCTGCCACCACAGAGCCACTGGGTACTATGTCTTCCTTACCATGATGGACTATCTCCCTTCAAATTGTGAGCCAAGAAGTCTCCCTTAACTTTCCAGGCATTTCGTCACCATGATGAGAAAATATAGGACCGCTAAGCCGATGCTTCATATGTCATGTAACATTCATCACAGAGTTTTGCCTTGGGGTGCAAACTATAGCGAGGGTCACACGGTTGGGCAAAATGAGTCTGTAGAGTTGAGAGATTATTTGTCCAGAGTAAAGCCCTAATGGGCAAGTGTAGCAGTGAGGTGAGACAGCTTATGGAAGCTGGGTTGTGAAGGGTTAAATGGGTGTCTGGTCTGCTTGTCCAATATTGCTCTTTTAAAAAGAACAGCCCGTGCATGTGATGGGATCTTTTCATGCTGCACTGGACCCTGTTAAAGTTTTTTAAGTATCCCTTAGCTGCTGAATTCCAAGACCAATTCACACTTCCTTGGAACAGGAGGCCATGGACCTTCAGAGATAACTGCTCAACCTGTGTGAAAAGATTTCATTATATAATGCTAGCCTCTAAAGTGTCTCAGAGACACTTTGGGAAAGAAATTTGAAAGAACAGTAAAAACAGCAGTTAAAGAGTTTAAAAACGGAAGCACTATGCCTGGATGCAAGGGGCACCCAAATGCTATAGGGTTATTGAATGAAAAATCCCAGTGCCAGGTGCATGTTGATTAACTACCGTTATTAGCAAGGGAGGCTTCTGAGGGCCAACCACTCCTACACATAACACAGGCTATTGCCACTGTTGTTGGTTTCGTGCCAGAACTAGATAGTAAGTCTCTATTGCTGAAAACCTTGCACACTCTGGTTGAAGGTTCTGGATACTTTACCTGGGACTGAAATGGAAGCTTTCTCACTAATGGATGGCTCCCACAGATACTGTGTTAGCTGCTGAGGAAAACCATGGTCCTGCTCAGCTGTGGATTGGTCCCATGTGTTAACACCACTAGCATGCCAGGCAAGATGCACCCCTAGGAGCAATAGTGGCACAACTGTCTGGGCACAACCACTTTCCAGTTGGATTTAAGACCTACTCCACAGAGGGAATCAAGGTTTGATACTATAAACCAAATTAAGAACTTGTGGCTAAGGAAGGTCATAGACTCAATGGGGAGGTTTCTACTATTGTCTTGTTAAATGAATATGTTGTATCTGTGGCCTTCAAATCATCTATGTTTATGGCCACAGATTATGTCTGCTGTTGGCCTTGATCAGGGTAGCAGTTACTATGAAAATATTGTCTAGAATAGTCCTCAATGGAAGAAAAAGATTATACACCTTATTTACCATCTAATGTTCTCAAGGAACATTAAGCATCAGAGGGACCGGAAAGAATGTAGGAGCAAGAAGTAAAGGTGTTGTGAAGCCTTACCCTGTGGGTTGGATATGCTGGACGCCATCTTGAATCAGAACAATTGTAATCAACCCCCACACAAGGTCTTTATCAGATTAGGCCTAGAAACATTCCCTCATGGAGGTCAGAGGGAGGATTCCTAGACTCATGAGGCTCACACCCCCCCCTTCCCCAAGGTTATAAAAAGGTTAAACAGCTGCTAAGGGAAGGCAAACTCTTTTGTATCCCCAAGAAATTATTTTTTATTAGTTCAAATTAGAAACAAGCCTGCTTCACACATCAATCCCTTCCCCCTCTTCCTCCCCTCCTTTCCTACCCCCACCCCTTACCCCCCTCTGCTCCCCAGGGAGGGTAAGGCCCTCCATGGGGGATCCCCAAAGTCTGTCATATCACCCTGGGCAGGGCCTAGGCCCTCCCCCATGTGTCCAGGCTGAGAGAGTATCCCTCCATGTGGAATGGCTCCCAAAGGGATAAATACTGATCTACTACTAGAGGCCCCATAGAGTGCCGAGGCCTCCTCATTGACATCCACATTCAGGGGTCTGGATCAGGCCCATGCTGGCCTCCCAGACATCAGTCTGGGGTCCATGTGCTCCCCCATTGTTCAGGTCCGCTGATTCTGTGGGTTTCACTAGCCCGGTCTTGACCTCTTTGCTCTTCACTCCTCCCTCTCTGCAATTGAATTCCAGAGTTCAGTTCAGTGTGTAGCGGTGGGTGTCTGCCTCTGCTTCCATCAGCCACTGGATGAAGGGAAGGCAAACTCTTTATAGTGTAGTCACCCATAAGTTGTCCTGGGGACTTTTCTGTGGTGCAAATACCATGGGTAGGACTTTGCAGTGGTATTGTCTGCAAGCTGCACAAGGGACTTCTTGGTAGTGTAGCAGTCTTTGAGTCACCCATGTACCTGTATATACTAGCCCCCAACCAAATGGTTCACAAACTTATATTTAGACAGAAGCTTTTAGTCTGTTGGTAGTGTTTCTATCTGGGGTGATTAAACGTTTCTTTATGTGTTCCTAAGAGAAGTCCCATGACAGCTAGCCAGAAACATCACAGTGGAAGGGCAAACCAGAAGAAAACTGCTCCCTTTAGAGCAACCAGGAAGCATAGAGAGTTGAGAAATTGCTAAGGGACAAGATAGACCTGCCCCTAGAGAGCCATTAACTTCAGCCAGGCCCCACCCATTAAAAGTCCATTCAGCTAGTAATTTAATCAGGGTATTAACTTATGAGCCAATCATGTTTTAAATAAAATAAATATATGTGTGCATGTTTGCCTGCATGTATGTCTGTGCATTATACAAATGCCTGGTATCCACAGAGTTCAGAAAGGGGTTCCTATGTCCTAGAACTGGAGTAACAGACAGTTGTGAGCCACCATGTAGCTGCTGGGAATTGAATCTGGATCCTCTGGAAGAGCAACCAGTGAGCTGAGTCATCTCTCCAGCCTTCCAGCCATCAGGTAAAGACCCCATTAGTTGCAACCAAGCCTCTAATACACAAACCTTTGGGAGATACTTGTATATTCTATCTGCAACAGACTGCAGTTGTGCAAAGGATAACCACTCTGCATTAAAAATACAAAACACAACACTATGGCGAGAAATAATCCATGCTCACTATAAAAACATGTTAGTGTGCTGTGCAGATGTGTTACAACCAAAACAAAGGCTCCTGTGAGTATACTGCAGTAGCCAGAGAGTGCTGTGGAGGTAGCTCAGCATCATTTCTGACTAAGTTGACAGTGTTGCTGTTATATACTAGGAGGTGAAGAATTTCCTCCTCAGTCTATATCTGAGACATCCTTGTGAAGAATTTACAAATCTGTATGATACTCTTCCTTTTGTATTTTCACAAACACAAAACACAGTGATGATTCTGCCCCTGAAGAAGAAGTAAATGGTTCTCAGGTATGCTGCATTGCTCAGGCCCCACCCAACACTCACGCTACTTTATCCACAGTATCTCCCTCCCTCCTTCCCTCTCTCCCTCCCTCCCTCTTCCTCTCTCTCTCTCTCTCTCTCTCTTTTACCTCCCTCACTCTATCCCTCTCCTCCCCCTCCCATGCCCAGTTCTTTTCTTTTCTGAAGGATGGTCTCTTGTAGCCCAAATTGGCCTTGACCCTGCAATGTAGCCAAGGAGGACTTTGAACTTCTGATCCTCCTGCCTCCGTTTTCCAGATCCTGGAATTACAGGCATTCATGACCACACCCGATTTTGTTCATCGCTGGGGATCGAACTCAGGAACTCAGGCATACTAGGCAAGTGCTCTAGGAACCGAGCTACATCACAGCCCTGTTCTGAGTCCTCTGAGCACTTTCCATTCTTCACCTAGAAGTGATATGTTTGGACAAGGAAGAAGAGAAAGAAAAAAAAACAGAGGACAGTGTGCAAGGAATAGCAAAGGACAGTAGGGCATGGAGCTTTCTCATAGACTGACAGGCCTTCAATGGAGATGCTTCTATTTCAATCCAAATCCTCAGTTGAACTTAGGTGTAAAATTTAATTCTAAAACAAAATACAACTTTCCTTTAAACTATTTATTTAAAATCATGCATATCATTCATGTGGGCATTAAAAACAAGCTGCCATATGATTTACATACATCTCCTATGTTGGAAGAGTTTTGTTCCTGAGCCCTGGTCCCAAAGATAGCAAATTCTAAATGATAAATGATAAACTTCATTTATTTGAACAGACAGAACAAATAATTAATCTTGAGTATATGGTGAGTTGATTGATGGTCGAGAAAACAGCTTTGGGATTCACATGGGAGCTTCAGGGTGGGTTTAGATTAGCATGAGTGCTAGACAGCAGTGGAACCTGAGAGTTAAACCTTCTGTTTTAAGGGAAGGTCGTTAACACAAGATATTAAAGGGGAAGTGAAACAGCCGGATGGTCTGTGGAGAGCTGGAACATTCCATCCTGCAGGGAAGTTCATTAAACTCAGGAAAGAAATTCCTCAATGGCTTCAGTAAGTCCTTGGAACTGAGCAGATTCAGTAGGTCCCTCCGCCTCAGGAATATATAACATGTAAGGGCTGCTTAGAAACACTCTGACAAGGTAAGCTCACTGGAGAGAGCAGAAACCAGCTAAACTGCCAAGAGAGGACACTGTCCAACCTGCTGAGCTGCCTGCAGCCTGTGCAGTGTCCTTCAGTTTTCCCAGCTTTGTGAGCTGTCACTCATGCTGGGGTGGGCTCTGGTGATGCAGCTGTCTTTAAGTCTGTTCCTGTAAGTAACCCCTAACTCATGCTCCTGTAAGTTAGCCAACAAAATTGATTAGCTCATCAAGTCGGATTTTGGTGTCTATCCAGAGGTAGGTGCGGTGGCACGTGCCTCTAATCCCAGCATTTGGGAGGTACAGATGGGTGGATCTTTGTGAGTTTGAGGACAGACTGGTCTACATACATAGCAAGTTCCAAGACAGCTAGCACTGTTACACAGAAAGATCCTGTACCAAAACAAACAAACAAAAACCCCCAAGCAACAAAACGCTTCTCCCTGGGTGCAGTGTCATACAATAACGTGTTTGAAACTAGACTGAAAGAGTTAGGGTGTAGCTCAGTGATAAGCAGGTGTGACAAGCATTTGTGAGGGCTTGGGCTCAATCCCCATCACTGCATGACAAGTACATAAGTTAAGTTTTAAAAATACATTAGTCTGTTTACGACTCCAGGGATGTCTTTCTCAGTAGAGTATATGACATCTGCACTGACTGAGTAAGTTGGGGCTGAAGACCGAGTGCGCAGGATGCATGAAGCTCTGGGTTCGATCCATAGCACTGGACTGCACATGCCTACAATTCCAGCACTTGGAGATTGAGTCAGGAGAGTCAGAAGTGCAAGATCATTCTCTGGTACATAACAACTTCAAGGCAGCCTGGGCTGCATGAGACCCTGACTCAGAAAACAAAACAAACAAAAAAAACCCAACCAAAAAATGTACCTCAGCTGGTAAACAGTATGCCCAACTTTTTCTCTCAGCGCTGGGAGCTGAATGCAGGGCTTCATATACTCTAGGCAAGCACTCAACTACCTGACTACATCCCAGCCCAGAGTATGTTCCACCATAGGGATGTGGAGGTTTTCCTGTTGGAGGGCAATGGCATTCTTTGTCACACTTACGTCTCTTGTGATCCCATGCCTCTACTTCCCTTTGACCCTAACTGGATATTTCCTTTAACATAAGCTAGTTGAATAAGGTATAAGGTTACTTCTAGCATATTTTGGTTTTGTTCTACTAGTTGAAGCAGACCCAGGCATATGTGAACACTGAGTAATGACAGAGCGAGGCTGCGCCTTTCAGTACTATGCAGTCCAGGGAATATCTGTATGGGTAAGTATAAAAATATTTTATTTCCTGATTTTTTTCAGTACACAAATGTCAAAAAGAGAACTCAAAAAAAAAAAATGGCTCCCAAATGTATTGTTAGGCTAGTTTTCAGGGCAGGCAAGACACTGGTTATGTAACTGAAGATATTAGTGATAAAAATTTGGAATATTAATTAACTCCAACAAACTCCTTTCTCCCTGGAACCACTGGTGTAATATTGTACATTTGATTATACATTCCTGTTATTTCCAAGGTTTCTGTTTTTATTGACATGTAACATTTATTTAAAAACTGTGCTATCCCACAGCACTCAGTCCAGTTCACTGTTCCCAGCCACAGAGAATCATTTTTCTTCTTGTGTGAGAGAGAGGGAGTTGGGGGGGCACAGCATGACTGACTCAAGCAGGCATGCACGCTTGCAAGGCTGTTTATACTCCCGCTTAGTGTGATTACAAATCAGCTTGGAGATGCCCATTTACTGGTTTTCAGTTGTCTCTGTAAAGCTTGGCAGAAAGCAGGCCCCTCAGGCCCAGGTCTGCCAGGAATGTCTTCTCCAGGAACATTTGCCTTGCCCAGTGAACACTGCAGCACTGCAGTGGAAGGGAAATGTCAAACATTCCCACTGCATGTGTACTTGCGTGCTGTCTCGGTGTCTCCAGGGATGGAATCTGTCACCTGGCTCGAGTGCCTCCCATAAAGGCTGCCTTAAAACAAAAATGGGAGGAACGCTTTCCTATGCTTTGGGTAGGAGACAAACGTGCTCTTGTAGAATTTGTGGTTGAAGAAGGCAGACAAGGCTTGGCTGAAGAAGACATACGTCACCACCAGCCACCAAGTTAAGTTGTGGAACCCAAAGGTGACAGCCATGGAGATGTAGATCATCAGCTCTGCTAGGTAGTTAGCCGAAGACACATATTCGAACCAGTCTCCAAAGGGGATCTTGTGCTGGCAGTGAACTATCACACCTGAAAGGGAATGATGACGGTGTTTTACCACTCCACTTCTGAAACCACTGACAGAAACCCTACCAAGTATCACACCCCATTCCACTGGCCATCCACCATAAAGCCAGGCATGGAGGTGCTGGCTTTAATCCCAGCACTTGGGAGGCACAGGCAGGTGAATATCTGTGAGTTCAAGGCCAGTTAGTGTTACAAAATGAGAATACGTCTCAGGAAAAGAAAAGGCCTGCTGGGCATGGTGGAGCACACCTTTAGTCCCAGCACCCGGGATGCAGAAGCAGGCAGATTTCTGTGAGTTTGAGGCCAGCCTGGTCTACAGAGTGAGTGCCAGGACAACCGAGGATATACTAGTGACTCTGTCTTAAAACAACAAAAATAAAATAAAAACCTGAAAAAGCCTTTGCTCAGGTTTCCCATCAGTTCTCACAAGCACACAGGGGCTGATGCCAGAGCCAGGGTGCATGAGTTCAAATCCTGACTCTTCCACTTGATATCTGTGTAACCTGATGTAAATTGCTTAATCTTGCTGTGCCCTAGTTTCCTTCTCTATAAGACAAGAATACTGCAAACCGCACCCATGATGAGTCAGTCCAAGCTAACTCGGAAGTCAACTTTTTTTCCTTCTGCTGGGCCATACTGCTCCACACCACACTAATGTGAGTTTTCCACATGCTGATCAGAAACGTGCATGGTGCTGTCCCCCACAGGTGGTCTGGGACAGAATCACAGACTGTCAGAGCTAGATCTGCCCCCTCATTTTACCAATGGGAGGATCATAATTCAGGAAGGGGTCCTGTGAAAAGTGAGTATTTGATATTGACAAGGGCATGGGAGAAAGGGATGAAGGGACAGAGAAAGCCATTCCCTGAGGGCCTGAGAGAAACTGGAAGAGACCTCACCTTTTTTGTTTCTCCTGAGGTTGCTGAGAATGACATGGCACTCATACTGATGGGCAGATGACCAGAGATACATCATCGTTCCGAGGACGTGGAACCACCGAGCTGGTAGCAGCAGATTCTTCCCCAGCACGTAAACTGTGGAAACAGGAGTTGCCCTATTAGCTAATGCAATGCTGCAGAATCCCAGAGCTCTTGTGTTATATTATTATAATATCACCTCTGGACAGTGAGAGCTGCTTCTCAGTCTCCGCAGCTTCAGCAGTTAAAGGCGGAGACCCAGCAACATCTTCTCTCGAGCATTCTTCAAATGCTTCTGGCAAGAACTCAGCCCATCCCCAGTGACTTACTGTGTGGTGAGATGTGCTGTGCTCCTATGATGGAGTCTCATTTTAGGTCTTCTTGCTTACACTCTCCCAACAGGAAGAAAATTCTCCAGAGAAACATCCCCCTGAACTGCCACCCAAAGCCCTGTAAGGGAGATCCTGAATACAGAAAGCTGAGCTAACTCAGGCACGGTGGTTATATGCTTGCCATCCTAGTACTTGGGAAGTTGAGGCAACAGAATCATGAATTCAAGGCCAGCCAAGACCAACTTGGACTACATGATATCCACCCTTGCAAATACAAGAGAGAGGGGAGGGAGAGAGAAATAAAGAGAGAGAACATGCATGCACTGTGCTGCCTAGTTCTGTCTAGTAGAGAGACCTTCTGAGGTAAAGATAAGTGGTGTCTCATAAAGAGAAGAAACATAAACACTGAGACCACTTAAACACTTAAAAATAATGTCCTTTCTGGATTAGAGAAAGCCTAGTTTGAGAGGCTGTTCCCAAAGCAGAAGCAGAAGTGCTGGAAGCACAACCTTCCTTCTGGTGTAGCAGCACGGATTCCCAGAGCAAGCCACCGGATCCGGAAAAGCAAGTGGGACAGACAGCCTTGTCTTAACTGAAGAAGCAAAACTTGTCCACTGAAAACTGACAAAAGCCTGGGACCCTGGAGTGAAGGCAAAGCCCTAAGAGCTGACTCAGGTAAGAGCAGCAAGGATCGCTCTACTTTCTCCAGAAACACACAGTGGGAATCAGTTGAGGGTAACTAATGGCTAACAAGAATCCACCAGATTGACCTGTGTCGATTTCAGTTCTAAACCAAACCCCGTTCTTCTGAGCTGCAGACTTGCATAAGGGCCCTGTGAGGTCAGTCTGTGACCCTGATCACTGACAGAGGTTCTGAGATGGAGAAACCCCGTCAAGTGGACACAGGCCAGCAGACTCTCAAACCTACAGCAATGCTATCAGATCCCACAGACGGCAAATGCAGCACTTCCTACTGTGGTGGTGAATTTCTGTCTGTGTTTCTGAGATAGGGTCTGGCTGTGTAGCCCTGGGTAGCCTGGAATTCAGCATATGGACAAAACTGGCTTTGAACTTGAAGTGATCCTCTTGCCTTTGTGCTACAAATGCTAGGACTACAGGTGTAAGATGCACTGGGCCCACTGCTGGGCAAGTGTTCTCCCATTCAAACCTCTTCATCAACTTGCTTCTTGTAGGGCATCTGGTCTCAACAATGAGGAGGAGTAACTAATCCAGTCATACTGCTGCAATGGTTCCAGCCACAGAAGAAGCTCAGAAAAGTGAGGTAAGACCAACAGAAAAAGAGAGAAAAGCTAGTGGGCAAACCAAGGGGTTCTGGAAAGTTCCTCTGGGCAAAAAGTCATGGTAACTGGCTGAGCATCTGAATACCATAGTGGGAAGACATGAGAGAAAAAAGCTGACTTGATCAATGATTATTATGGTGGTCTGAATGAGAAATGCCCTCCCTGGGCTCAGGGACTTGAACACCTGGTCTCTAGCTGGCGACACTCTCTATGGAGGTTTAGGGGGTGCAGCCTGGCTTGAGGAAGTACATGGCTAGAAGTGGGACTTGAAACTATAGACCCTCTCCCTACTTGCGGCTCTCTCTGCTTCACGCTTAGGACTGAGGTGTGATCTCCCGGCTTCCCACTCCTGCGGGTTTGCTTCCGTGCCTCCCCACTGTGATGGGTGCAACCCTCTGTAACTGTGAGCCAAAATATGATCTTCCTCCTTGGTCATAGTCTGTTACCACAGCAACAGGAAAGTAACTAATAACAACGGAGTCCAGAGGACTTAGAAGAGATGCTGCCTGAATGGCTGGAACCAGCAATGAGAAGCTATCTAGTAGATAAGCCTGCCTTTCGAAGAATTCTTATAGCCTCAGGGAGTGTATTACAGCAACAGAGCAGACTCTGGAGCACTCTGAGACTGAAATCAAACAAATGCTCAATCAGTGACAGCTGTCTCAACTTATGATACAGGACATGGAGAAAAGGGTCACACAAGAGCTGGGCTGAGAGCCCATGGCCTCAAGGCCAAGGTAACCTCAGCACTAAAAGTCATTCCAATCACCCAAAAGGATTAGAGTTCTGTATTATGCACACAGACTTTTTTTATGAATATGACAGTCATATAGGTTATATAACTTCCAAATGAAATAGCAAGCTACCTCACTCCCCTCTCACATACAAAGGTTCACTTTCCTCTTCCTGGCCAGAAAACACACAGAAACCTTAAGGCCATTTCCATTTACTGGAGACTCGGTTTTCCTCTCCCCTCAGGCTGTCCTACATGAAGAAAGACTTTGTTAGGAGGGCAGCCATCCCAAGAACCAATGGCAAGAGAATGGCTGTTCTCCTCCTTCAGATGAGAACAACTCACCTCAAGCTCCTCCGCCACCTTGTTTTCTGTGATTTAATCCCACAGAAATAGTGACTTCTCTCTCTCCTGAATGCACCCCCAGATAACTGGGCTCTGGTGAGTCCACTTCCTTTGATGCCGCCTTCTCCTGGTCCTTTGGTTGTCTAATGCCTTCTGTTCAGAGCTTAGCTACACTTCCTACCTCGCTACGGATTAACCCCACCCAGCTTAACTTCATCATCTTTAAACAGACTCAAGAATGCTTTGTTCCTCACTACTGTCAGTGAGGGCGCAGCTGCTTATGCTGGTGTTTTTCAGGTTTTAGCAGTCATATCTACCTTTTGATGAGATGACTTTTGAATGTACTGCAAGGGCCACTCACCATTCTTGTCATCCATGGGCACTTGGCTCAGTACAGTTAGGCCAACGAGGACATAGTAGACAAGTCCAAAACAGTACTGCACGATGTGAATCACTGAGTTAGAGAACACGCTGATGTAGAAACACTCGAAGAGCCTCCGCAGGCTGTGGACCCAAAGGAACACCAGCACCAAGAAGGCAGACAGAGTCAGCTCACCCACTGTAATGCAGAAGGTGACACAGTCAGTGTCTTCTCCAGCATCAAGCCATGTGTTCAGTGTTCCCACTTGAAACAGAGCCTTTCATAAGATCAGGGTCAGAGGGCTGGAGAGACCACTCAAACTAATGTCTTCCTCTTTCATACTGTGAGGATCCAGGTTGAATGATAGCCATGTGGTCAGTTAGTGGCAGGGTCATGGGAAGAGGGGACAGGACTCATCTCTGACTCTACTTTATCATAAAGAGATTTCCAGGCTGCTTGGACATCATGATGAAGGGTCTGTTTGCTCAGGACTCAGGATCCATGGGTCTCTAGTCACTATGCCAACTGCTAGATGCAGACGGTCAGGGAGAGGTCCATGCTGATGCTGGAAATGCTATCTGTGGGATCCCAGGGCCATACCCACCCACAAAGGCAGAGATAGAGGCAGTGATCCAACAGGTGAGTGTTTCTTTTCAGGCTTAAAAAAAAAATAAAGGATGGAAGATGGACTGAGTGATGAAGCACTTGCCTATCATTTGGGAGGCCTTGGGCTCCATCTCCAGTGCTGCCAAAAGAAAAAGAAAAGGAGAAATTACCCTTTTAGAGAGAGAGTGGGTCCCAAGATCCACCTTCCTGTGGGTCCTTCATTTCATGCTCCAAGGATGTGTGAAGAAAGCTCATTTTTAAAATATCATAAAATCCAGTCTGTCTTTTAAAAAGAGTAACACAGACACAATCACAGGGACACAGCTTGGTGAATGTTTACTAATTCTCATATTTTACTAGTGCTCAGACTGAGAACTAGGACTTGACCAGCGCCCCCTAGTGTTCCTTTCTAAGCATGACCTTGCTTCAGGCTGCCCCAAGGTTACAGACTCCTTTCTAAGTTTTACCAGGAGAGATTTGCTTTGCTCTTTTTGTATTTTAAGTAAATTAAAACCCAGTTTTTAACCCTTTATGAACAAGTTAAAACAAAGAAGACTCTTCAAATTTAATCTCCAAATACATGAACACGGTAAGCAACAAAGCTATCAGGATCCCCATCCTCTTCTACAGAGCCCTTGTATGCTGCTATGGAGAGTTTAAATGCTATTTTGTAATAATCTGGCCAACAACTGCTCACAGTTTCTTTAACAACATAATAAACATTTTTGGTTTAATTTTCATTAACTAATTTATTTACTCTGTGGGTGTTTTGTGTATGTGTGTGCTGTGAAGATGTCAGGGGACAACTTGTAGGCGTCTGTTTCCTCCTTCCCAAATGTGGGTCCTGCAGATGGATGTTAGATTATCATGCCTGGTGGTAAACACCTTTATCCATTGATCCATCGCACGAGTCTCCAGACCTTTTTAAATGTTTGCCAAAAAGCAATTTTTAAAAATCAAATTTCTGTGAGCCCAGGGGCATGGTTGTGGCTGCAGCTGTGTAAATGATAAATGTTTCAATGCACACGCAGGGATTTCCAAAGCATCCCCAGCACATGTAAGGCCTTCTTTGTAAGCTTATCAGCCCACTAAAGGTATCAGAGCAAGAACAGCCCGTCCTGTATTCAACATGGACTTGCAAGGCAGCAGACCAGGACCTCACCCTAGGCTCTGCCACAGCTCAGTGAGAACTTGGAATAACCCATGAAAACCCTGTCTGCCTTCTACTTCCCAGACCCTGCAGAGGGGCCTGATTGGTGAGACTGGCAGGCAGGAACCAGGAACAGGCTAGAGAGCCAAATTACCTGGGAACTGTGTGGCTCCAAGAGTTCTGAGCAAAGCACGAAGCCATTTTGGGAAAGGTGCTCCCAGGAAGAGAGACTGAGAAAGGAACCAGAGCAGGAAGCCATTCCATAATACGGAGACGACGTAGAAGTGAGAAAAATACCTGCAACAGGAGGAAGAGTTAGGTAACCACCAGCTAGAACCTCCGCAAATCCCAGGAAGAGTCTAAGTTACTCCACCCTTCCACCCACCCCACCCGTATCCCAAAATAGAGTTTATATTTTAAACAGACCCTGACTTCTTTAGGTGGGAATGTTTCAAAATGTACTTCTAAATCATGGGACATGTTAAATTGGACTGGGGAAGGATGAGTTAATAGTCTCTCATCTCTGGGTAACAGGAGCAGCCACCGAGTTCTCAGAAGGAGCTGCAGCTCCCTGCACAGAAGATCTAGATCATGCCAACAGCAGTGAGATCTGTGGGAGTCTTTTAGATCCCAAACTGGACAGCCACACAACCACTGCGCAAGTGTCCTGCAAACAGACTCAGAGTTGGAAGAACAATTCCAATGTGGATTCTGGAAATTGAACTTGGACCTCTGAAACAGCAGTCCATGCTCTTAACTGCTACACCACCTCTCCAGTTTCATATACTTTATTTAAAATTTTAAAAAAATTATTATAATTGGTGTGTGTGTGTGTGTGTGTGTGTGTGTGTGTGCGCGTGCGTGCACTGTTATTGCAGAAGACCCAAGTGATTTCCAGCATCCACATTGGGCAGCCCATAACTGCCTATAACCTCAGTTAAACTAGCAGGTCAGTGATTCCCATCCTCCCAGCACCAAGGCTACGGGTGCTTGTACTATGTCTGGCTGTTATGTGTGCACTAGAGATCGAACTCAAGTCCTCAGGCATGTCACTACCCAATCCATCTTCTTTCTCGATGTACCTTCCGAGTTAATTTTTTTATAATATGAAAAAGATTACAATAATAATGCCAGGTGTCAACTCCTTATCATTGTATTTCTCCAACTACTACGCCTATGAACCTATCTGGCAGTGAACTATTTACAATATAAATAAACATAAAGGCACAAAACCAATGAAATGAAACCAGCAATGCTAATTTAATATAAAAGATGATGCTGGTTTGCTAAAATGGGATCATTTAATATGGCATGAGGCTCACTGAGGCATTTTGTGACAGCAAGCTCCAGCGATCCTCCCGTCTCTGCACACGGCCACACCTATCTTTTTTACTCTTCAGGTCCTCATGCTTATACGGCAAGCATTACTATTACCCACTGAGCCTCCTCCCCAGGTTCTTCTGAGGTTCACTCTCCTTTACTACAGATGGAGTACTTCCTACCTGAAATACCTAGGGCGTGTGCATGTACACTGGCAGAGAGCTTGAAGGGTGAGACCCACGTCTAAGCATGGAATGTACATTATATGCCTGATACCTAGTGCATCTGCCGTGTGACCATCACCAATACCATGGAGGCAGATGGGGAAGTTTTTCCACCCCGCCCACTATCAGCATGCAAGAGTTTTGGATATTTGGAGAATTTTTTTTGAGTTAGGCATATTTAAGCATATTTCTGAGTTAGGCATATTTTGATTTAGGCATGCTCAATTTGGAATTCTTCCTCTACTCAAATCAATTCGGGAGATCACATGACCTCCTCTTGGTCTTTCATACATCAGTAGTATGCTCCTTTTCTCCTTTTCGCTTTGGTTTGTGACAGTCAGAGATAACCTGGAGCCAAAAGGGATTGGATATCATTAGCTCAGAAGTCCTTCCACACAGGCCAGAATAAGACGGTAGAGTCACAGCTCTAGCCCACACCCATGCCATGCCAGTGACCCAGTGTGACTAACTCTCATCTAATCCAGTCACCCTGCTGCAGCTCACTCTTGTCCTCCCAGCTGCAGCTGGCAAACCCCACCAGGATCACCCTCACTGGTTACACAGATACATTTCCATCCACCCAAGAGTTCAGGATCCATCTGAAGAGAGGGCCTCGTTTTTTTCTCAAAAGTCCATGCATCACAGCCCTTTGCCTCCATAGCTCCTGGCCCTGGCTGTGTTCCAGGTCATGCTGAAGACACACTGCCCAGAACTGAACACAGGTGTGGGCTGAGCACTGGGGCATGGTGGAAGGTCAAGGACATTTTTAACTGTCTGCTTTGCAGGTTCTGGGGGGGGGGGGCTTGATGCTTTGCCTACTTTTTTCTTTCATAAATATTTAGGCCCCACTTGAAATGTGTTAGTCCAAGTTCCAGGAGCCTGAACTTGAAGGATGAACACAGAACCGGTCCCTGCCTTAATGGAAGTCCCCTTTTGGTAATGACTGGGTAAAGCTGCAGGCATCTAGCGTAACATTCGATCAGGGAACAGAGCACTAGGGATGCTCTTCTGGATGGGTGGCTGGGATGGCCTTCTGGAAGGGACATCTGCACAGAACATGTAATCCTTGCACACTTCCCTTTTTCAAAAGAATTTTATAAACTTTATTGTTTAAAAAACTTACAAATAAATACAAATACCACATACCAAAATTAAATAGACCCAAGGCCTACACAACTCAACAAACTTCTATGTTGTTGGAGTGTGCATTCAGGACAGAAGCTGTGGGGCTGTATCAGATTTTACACTTTCAGTATCTAATATATTTTATGCACTTATCTGCCACCAAAACCAAAGAAAAAGTCATGGCAGAATCAGACTAGAAAAAATGATTACTTCTATATCCTCTTCCATAACTTGTGTCCATTGTCTACATTCAGTCCTTCCTCACCCCGCATATGTAGCCTTTTGTCTTTTCTTTTCTTCATGTTATAATGTCCCCACATGTACATGTGTTTGCATGTACATACATCACTTGCTAGATTATGCATATGAGAGAGACATGTAGTTTTTTTCATTGTTTCCGGGGTTCTATGACCTCACTTACTATTACACATTCCAAGCCTAAACATTCAACATGAAGTTAAAAATTTTGCAGGAAAATGGATGGACTTAGAATGTAACATGCTAAGTGAGGTCACCTTGCACACTTTCCAAGGAGAGGAAAAGCTACAGAGGCACTGAGAGGGGTGCACGTTGGGTGTATGCCATCTGTGACTCCTCTGTGGTTGTGTGGCAGGACCTGGAGAAGAGGGCAGGGGGCACAGGGCCCTGTAAGGATGCAGGCTTTTGTGACAGAGATCCATTTAGGCATACCGAAGTAAAACATTTTAAAAAGAAAACCATGATTCAATCCCTTTGAAAGTTTCAAAATACCCATCTGGGAGCTGGAGAGATGGCTCAGTCGTTAAGAGAACTTGCTACTCTTCCAAAGGACCAAGGCTCCATTCCCAGCACAACATGGCAATTCACACCCATCACCAACCATCCAGGGATACAACTCCTTCTTCTGGCCTCCAGGGGCACCAGGCATGCACACGATGCCCAGGCATATATGCAGGCAAAACACCCCTAAACAAAAAATTATAATAAAAACAAAATACCCATCTGTTGGTGACATAGAGACTATCTAGCCTTGAGATAAAGGATGTAGACTGGGACCTGGGAGAAAAGGCACGACCATGAAATTTCATCTCTGCAACAATTCTACAGTTTGTTCTCTTCACATGGCAGATGGACACCGAGGCTCTGAGAGGTTAAGTTCCTTATCCAAGGTCACAGCAGTGGCAGCAGTTGGCTCTAGATGCGGCTAGAGTGACTGGTGTTTATATCACATTGTTGCACTCTTGCCTGCAGACAGGGCTTGCTTGAACCTGTTTCCCTAGCCCTATTATCACACACAGCCAGTTTATGAGACAACTATAGGCAAGTAAATCAGTAGTTTTGAATGAATTACTGGGCTATGCCTTACAGCTCTCCTTGTTCCAAGGCACCTTTGGTTTAACTACACATTGGATTGTTTTTCAGTTTCACATTTTATTCTGCTGTCTGAATGTCCTTCTATAGGAAACACTTCCTAGTCTTTACAGGATGTCCTATCTCTTGCTTGTATTTAAAGAGACAGCTAAGACTCAAACTACAGATCTCTAATCCCCACTGCCTTCTAGGTGAAGATACTCCTTCCTCCTTCCGTAACTTGCTTCCCAGAAGTGCTGTTTTCCAAGTCCCCAGAGTAGGGACATAGTGATCTTCCTGACTGCACAAGGTTTGGTGTGGGTACTCCTTTGACTAACAGCCACTTGGGTGATTATTACAGGCTGTGGCTGACTGCAGGGAGAAGGTCTGCTGGGGAGTGTGGAATCATCATTTTAAGTAAGGCAGGTATGGAAGACCTCACTGAAGATAAAAATAGCTAAGCTTTAATCCAGAGAGGCCAGGTGAGAGGGAAAAATTTCAGGTAATGCTTCGGCTCTGAGGTAGGATAAGAACTACTATAGAGAAGCCCTGAACTGGAATAGGGCCAATAGCAGCAAGTTACAGGGTACAAAATCAGAAGCAGAAAGGACTGCATAGGGTTGGAAATCCTCCATGGTTTGGAGTTAAGGAAACACAATCTTATTTAACATACATGTGCACTGAGTGCTGGAACTGGCCCTAGAGTTAAGCCAGGGAGCTGTGGGGTAACTAGGGAAGGGGAACTAGTATTCACTGAGTGCCACCCAGGTGACTATGCCTGTGCTAAGTACTTTAATGCCACCCCCACCTTTGACACCTGAGGATACCATGATGCTTCAGCTGTAATTCACTCGAGCACCACCATCTTTCTGCTGAACTAACACAGCAGACTCTTGCCCAATCTTTCTTACACAATGGCACCATCCTTTATGTCCTATGATGCAATGTTTTCCCTTCCATCACAAAGCCCTCAGCAGCTTCCATTCCCCTGAATAAGTTCCCAATTCATCCTGGCCCACAAGGCTCTGCCAAAAGGGTCTCCCACCCCCAATTCTCCCTATGAAGTCCCTCCTCAAAACCTTAATCCCTGCTCAAATAACCTTGTTGGGTCTCCTCGGGAGCACTTGACAGCCTCAGAAAAGATTTTGCTTCTCTGAAATTTGTTGACATATCTTCCTGTTTGCCCATAAGCATCATAGAGCCTAGACTAGCCTTGAGATTAACAGCAGGCCCTCTGGGAAAACTGGTACATTAAATGCATGAAGGACATGGTAAATAGCTCATTCACCGAAGAAACTA